GATTAATTTGTTATATAAAAATGATACAGGTAATATGAGAACCATAAACTGCAGAGATTCGTGCTCAGGTTCCAGAGATATGCACTTCAGGTCAGGACACTTGGCTCTCCAGAGTTCCTTTGATCAGTTGGAAAAGGGTATAGTGACATCTCCCTGATCGAGTACTACGACAATTTGGATACTGTCCTTCCACTGATATCATGCCAATGGATCCTAGTTTTGTAAGAGTTGATGGACGTGGTAAGTTAGATACTGATTGGGCATTGTATCACCAGGCAAGTATTGCACTATGGGAGAGCAGGAGAGCATACATTGTTGCTGGAGAGATTCCTGGGTTGGATTATGATTATAAGGTGAAGCAGTACTTAGCATGGTTTCATTCTTGGGCTACACTATACATGCTAAAGCCCCCAGTGGATCCTCCGAGTACATACTATCCAAGATCACCAGCTGAACGTCACATGGTAAGTTTAAGTTATTTAAATTTCATTATATGAAAAATTTTAACTGAATTACTTAACCTGGCAGCGAGATTTCTTTGTGAGCATGGAGAGAAGATTGCAACCACACTTTGGCGGTACTGAGGGGACACCTTTACAGATGGATGTGAATATTGTTGGAGATATGTGCCAAAGATTGCGACAACAGATATACATTGACGATGCTCATTATTTTGATGAGGCAGATACTCAGGTGTTTAGTCCAGCCATTCCGACTGCAGATCCATATGATGCTGGGCCATCCTCCTATCCTGATCTTGGTCCCTCTCAGAGCCACTTCACAGCTAAGTTTGACGTCGCCTCCACACCTCAGTTCGTACCTTTCTCCTTGGGAGAGCCCCCAGTTACTCAGCAAGATGTTAGTGATCAGGACCAGCGCCACCTACGTACCAGGCCACTACGAGCACCTCAGCATTTTACTCCAGGCACTGATGCGATTCCACATCGACATAAAAGGAGGCATTAGTTTTTTGTATCATGTATCTTTTAGTTGCTTTAGTTATATTTTATTATTTATGTTTCTTATTGTGCTACAATGGAACAACTATTTCGTATCATGGAATTAAATTTATTATGCTCTTCTATTAACTCTTGCATGAAGTTTGATCTAAAAAACATAATGTTGGATGATCCAAGAACATATAATTTTTTAAAGAATTTGTAATATTTGATATACATATATATACTTATTATAAGTTATTGTTATCAATTAGAGCGTATATAACTTCTGAATGATCTAAGATCTAATCTTCCTAAATTTGAATTCTAAATATACCAAAAACTTGAAAAATAGATTAAGCCTCTTATTATATATATATATATATATATACAAGAGTAGATTAGATATATATATATATATATATATATATATATACATAAAATAGAATATATAATAATTAATCGTAATCTTTTTTAGTTGCAATTTTTTTTTATTCATAAGAGTAAGTCGCCCCTTCAACGGGCGACTTACTATTTACACAATCCCGTTACTTTAAGGAATAACGGGAATAACGGTTAGTTGAGTTATTGAGGGGTAAGTCGCCCGTTCAACGGGCGACTTACTTCACTGATATAAGTCGCCCGTTCAACGGGCGACTTTGGCGAGTTTTAAATTTTTTTTTTCGTTGGTTAATTGCTTAATTATAATTAATACGATGCTTAGTTTAAAAAATTGCCCGCTAGGAAAAGTGATTAATGGAAAGTTGGAAACCAACAATGCTTTGTTTTTTAGTTTAAATAAGCAACTTTTTACTATGAGAATGGGAATTGGGATCGTTGAATCTCCTCATTTTCTCTTTCTCACTCTCTTTTTTTTAAGATACAATCCAAAATGAAGACATTAAGCATGCAATGAAGGTTTGGTTTGAGACAACTTTTTTATTGATTTTTAAAATAAATTTTAAGTTCAAAATTTATTTGAACTGAAAATTTTGGTAATGGAAAGCTGCTTTAGAAAACAATAAAAAATCTATTCCAAATGAAGCCTAAGTGTATAATGGATGAATGAAGCGAAGAAGTTCTGAATCATTGCAGCAGCAGAAGGGTGAAATCAATATTGTATTGAATAAAGGATGGATTATAATATTATATGTAGCAGATAATAGAAAGGAAGAAGCTATGTGTGGACCTCCGAAGGAGCACCGCTCGTGGGGTACGAACGCAGAGGGTACGGCCGCACTATCCCTCTGGGACAAAACGATCGCAGACCTCTACACTCAACATGAACAGGTCGATGGGAGGGCAGATTGGATCGCGCATACGACTGACCATTGGGGATAGAGGCTGTCGCCAACACACCCCGATGGGTAGCAATATACACGACCTAGTCACGGGTTTCCCCCACCCGATACGAGAGATCGAGTGGGGTAAAGTAGATTGCGGGGCCAAGTTTCCCACGGGCGCAAGCCCCCGTGGTTAATTACATCCCGGGTCGAAGCCCGAGAAAACTCTCGATTAAGGATCATACATTATCTTTTTCAAATTGGGATTGGCACCTGGGTAAATACTAGGAAATCCTACTCAAAGGGAAGAAAGGTCCGAAGGGCTGAATAAAACATACATGGCTCATACCAGCATTCGGAGGCTCTAGGGTACTAAACAGAAACTGGAGAACATCAAAGTCAGGCATCCGATCAAATGCGTGAGAGAAGGATGGAGGTGGTGTCATCCTGTGACACAGATAAGTAGGATTTAGGATCCCTGAAAAGAAGGGACCTACCTGCTATTTAAGGCATACGACGAGACCGAATGTAGTTGCCTCGAATCCTAAATCTA